TTGAGATTCTCGAGATCTTCTTAAGGATTATTGAGATTCTTGGCTTGGATTCAAAGCGCTGCCGATTTGTAATTAAATAATCAAAATGGCTATAAAATTTATGTTAAACTAACCGAAGGAGAAATTTAGGGTTTCAACCTAAAATCCGAACTTTATGTTTCTCAACGTTTCAAAATATTTTGAATTATAACATTCTGAAAACATTTGAGGAGTTTCTTTAGAATTAGCAAAAAGTACAAATTTTTTTGTTCAAGTTTTCACAAAAAAAGAATGCGCGCAAGGTTCACACGCGATTGAACCAAAACTTATTTGTTACTGTACAAAGTAGCAAATTTCAGTTGAGTAAAAATAAATACATCATATAACAATTTTGAATAATGTTTATTAGCAATATGGTACCACTCGTGATGCACACATTCATTAGTGTCGACAATTATATATATTTATATAATGATAAATTATAAATTATATATTTATAATAGCAATAAAAATATGTATAATATTTAAAAACAATAATGTTATTAAAGTCATACTTCAAATATTGCATGATCGGTTTATCATTGTAATTAGCATTCAGGAATGAATCTTTATTAGAACAATGAAGTGATTGCTGATTAATAACTTCTATAATATTTGTTCACACGCTTAAATAAATATTATTTTCGCAAATTTACTCATCATGTATTAGTGTTTGAAGAACTTCCTGTAGTTGAAATTAACATACATTCATTGACTGCTTGTATTTTTTTTACTTTTTCGCTCGCGATATAATCTCATTCTTTGAACAGCTGTAATATCTGTTTTGCTTGAACTTATTTTTCATTTTAATAACGTCAAAGATTTATAGAAACTACGAATAATATAGAAATAATTTGTAATCAATAAACTTACATTTAGTACACAAATGTTTAATTTGTTTTATTATTTTCAAGAAACAGGGTAAAATATTCTTCTGATTCAGTACAAATTTTGCATTAAATCAAGATTTGTACTACAATGTAACTTTAAAATGTTTATTTACTTATGCCGATTTCCTTGTACGGTACGCATACGACGTTGATGCCAGTACGCATACAACGACAGATCTCTATTCACATACACGACGACTAATCACAATCGACTACTATAGAAATGATATCATCGAGAGCGAATGACGAATCATTGGCACTCGACTCTTATCTACCGTAACGCACTTCCGTTGCATTCTATCTATCTATGCACATACTAATAATATAATATAATAATACGACGGCTAATCACAATCGACCAGTATAGAAATGATCTCATCGAGAGCGAGTGAAGAACAGTTCGGGATTTGCACCCTAGTCGCGCCGAAAGTAGTTTTACTTCCAAAAATTCTGAGTCGATCTCGATGGTGCGATTCTGCAGTAAAGACCAATGTTATGGCAAGGCTGTCATCTGGCGGTTTTCATACAAAATCGTACTAAATACTGTCAATTATCCTGGAAAAGTTTGATATTCCTTCCCCGGCAGATGTATGTCCATAACTGGTGTCAGGGGTTAGCGAGCGGCTTCCGCGAACACAAGCCAGGACAGACGGTAATAAAATATCTCACGCCAGCTATGATATTCCAACCACTATCTAAATGTATTTTATTTATTTACTTTTATCGTTGTGGTCTTCGTGGATTTCTTGAGGCGATGAAAATGAAAGATATCCATGCGAATTTATGCGATGTTGTACTTTGCAGAAATGCCGCAATCGGTAGACGTTACACTCTTATCATGCTTTCCTGGTAATAAACACGATTGGTAATATAATATTTGGTTGATAAAAATTCCTTGATAATAGAGATATTTGAGTATTTACAAAACAGTTTGTAAATAATATTTTCTATTTTTATACCATGCCGTTTGTTAGAAATTCTCTGGAGCAGATATTGTGTTATCACGCTTTTGACTAATAAGGTCGCAGCTGCTCATTATCATTTGTTAATGTATTGTTAAACGTAGAGAATGTGCCTAGAAATTTAATAATTATGGCCACTTATTGCTAGACTTTCTTAATGGTTCAGTGGCGATAGCACGATTTCTTTTTGCATTAGAATTCATTAATAAACTCATACAAAGATCATAAAAAATTGAGATAATTATCAATTTTTAACTTTCCGTGGGGCAAGTTATGGTAATCGCAAAAAAATCAAAAATGAAAATTTTTATATATCTTTACGTTTCCGAGGTTTCTGAATATTTTGGCATACCTTAGAAAAAATGTATGTATGTGTGTGTGTGTTTGTGCGTGTATGTGTGTGTATGTGTGTGTGTTTGTGCGTGTGTGTGTGTGTTTGTGCGTGTGTGTGTGTGTGCGGATACAAATTTTCGTCGACGATTTCGGGAACACGGATGAAGCGATTTGAATAATTCAAAAAACATTCGACTCGTATTGATAACGAGATGTGCTGATTAGTTTTTGGCGAATGCAGGTCTAGCCGTTCCGAAGATATGGGACAAAAAGTGCTATAAACGGTAACTCAGTTTTTAAGAGAACGGAGCGTCCGATTTGAATAATTCAAAAAACATTTTACTTGTATCAACAAGCAATTAAGAACTGATCAAATTTTCATGAAGGCAGGTCTAGCGGTTTCGGAGATCTAGTAAAAAAAAGTAAAAAAAAAAATGCCATCTGGCGGTCAAAAATGATCATTAGACATATGCACATCAAATTATCAGATATTTTATAGAGATTTTAACAAAAAGTATAAATTTTGTTCACATTCCTATGGGTTCCGTACCAATGCTTATCCGTTAGACGGCGACGCGGCACTTATGCGCTTCGATATTTTGTCTCTATGCAGATAAAGCAGTACGATTTCTTTTAAAAAAAAGTTTAGAATTTCCAAAATATTTCAAAATAAATTTTTCTTCAAAAAGTCTTTTTTTTTTGAAAAAAAGTAAATTTTTGTCAAAAATTTATAGTTTCTCAAAAATTTATTTTCTTCAGAGTAAATTTTTTTCAAAAATGTTAATCTTTTTTTAAAAAAAATCATTTTTGGTACGGGAAGTTCCAGCAATTTGCCTTAAGGCACTATGCCATGCGCCCCACTAGGTTACGTAGTATTTATAAGGTATGCAACCGCAGGCATTGAACATTTTTTGGTTTATTTGAGTGTGATAATTATTATAAATTAATATAAATATTATCCCATATATAAATAAAATTTTTATTCTGTGTAAATGTATATATTTTATAACTATACCGTTAATCGTAAGTCATATACGCCTTTCCCCAGTTTACCTATATATTAGCCTATTAATATAATTGGTTTAAGTTCTATTCTCGGTTCAGGTGTGCCGCATACGAAATGTCAGAGCACTTCGTCTAACTCCAAAATTGCTGTTACATGTTTCAAGATTAAATGAAATTATTTCCTTAGCCCGACTTCTTGTTCGTTTGGGGTCATCCAAATGTCAAATGTTGAATTGAGCCCATTAAGGCAATGAAAAAATAAAAATAAAAGTTACACGAAGGAAAATTTCAAACATAGAAAAAATACCGAGAACACTAAACTAAATATTAAAGTAAATAATAGAGAAATAGAAGAAGTGGAAAGCATAAAATACTTAGGATTGATAATAAATGAAAAACTGACATGGACAGAACATATAAACAAAATAAAAAGAAAGATAGAAACATTAACAGGGGCATTGAAAAGGATCCACTCTTTCGGCAAAAAAAATAAAATACTAATTCAAAACGCAAATAATACTTATAATTTTATATGGAGCCAAACAACTAAAGCTAACCTAAATGACATACAGAGAATAATGAATAAAGCCACAAAAATTGCATATAATTTTCCACATCTAACACCCACCAAATACTTACAGAGAGAAACAAATAATCATTCACTAAATAACATAATTAAAATAGAGAAATGCAAACTAATACACAAAATGAAATTTAACCAAATTAAAACAAGTGCAACAATAGACATAAATCAAGATATACATGAACACAACAATTTTCACATTGAACACAATAGAAAGAAGAATTTCAGAGAAAATGTCATGATAAACCGTGATATATTTAAAATAACGAATGAATAACTTGTTAAATTAAATTAAATAATTGATGTTGATTGGTAATGTATCAATTAAATTTCGTTGAAAAAAATTTGTGCCATTATATAAGAAAACGGTCGTATGTTAACTTTAAATTTACCATTCTGTAATTAATGATCTTTAATAAATTTATTATAATAATTAAAGTTTCATCACAAATCAATTGTAATACTAACGCGATTATTCATTAACGAATGATAATTTTCAATCAATTATATAAATTTATTTAAACATATTTCATAAATTTCAACCTGAATATTTGCCATTTAAGTCAAGTAACGAAATAACCGAATATATCTAATAATAACTAAATACAATTCTTTTAATTTTTAAAACGTTTTTTATCCTTTTCATGTATAATAGTCATTTTTTGACTATAGTTTTGCCAATAACCCAAAAACCGTTCCAGAAAGGTGCAAACAAGTTTCCCTTTCATTTTGATTTGATTCACATACATATTTTTATTTATTAAAAAAAATCTTCATTATATAAAATAAGGTTGTCAAATATCTCCCTTCCGCCTTTTTGTATTATAAACCAAGAGCAAAAAAGCAGAAGGGAGATATTTGACAACCTAATATATAACGAATATATAACGAATTGCCAAACGATATTAAGATGACCAATGATGACGATAAATTTAAAAGAAAAATAAAGAAATACTATAAGGAAATTGAAGACAAAGAAGACTGAAAAGTTATATATAAAGATATTTTAATTATATATAGATATTATATTAATGAAATAGATATTATAGTCAAATGAAATGTATATATTATATGAAAACTGTTTTTCATAATCTCATACCAGGCACCTCTGCCTGACTGAGATATGAAAATAATGTATATATATATATATATATATATATATAAATAAAAAAAATCTATATGACTATATATTTTGGGTTTGTGTTCCAGATCTTTCCAAAAATCGCTTTTGCGAACTTCCAAATGATGTGACTGCATTCCACTTTCTGGAACGACTTCTATTGTATCACAATGCTATCAGAAACATACCTGAATCTGTCGGCGCCTTACAGTCTCTATCCTACTTAGATCTAAGGTAAGTAGTAAAAAAATATTATCATATACTAACCATTTTTTACAACTTGTTTTACTTTACCTCTAGCCGAAATCATCTGACGACTCTGCCCCGCGAAATATGTCTCCTTCCCTTAGAGGTGCTCCTGGTGTCGAACAACCGCCTGGTCAGTTTGCCGGACGAATTAGGGCGGATGAGTCAGCTTAGCGAATTGGATGCCAGTTGTAATTTTCTAGCCCATCTTCCTGTGCGAATCGGCGAACTCAGGAAATTGAGAGTTCTCAATCTCCGGAGCAATGCCCTCGTGTATCTTCCTTTAGGTGAGATTGATTGATGGATAAAAAAAAATGTTAATTTGTTTTAATATTGCATAACATATTTTTTATGAAGATTTATTAATATCAAATATTAAGGGAGTATTCTAGTGTAGAAATTCTAAGAAAAACGATTTTTTTTTATTTCATATTTTCAAAGTTTAACTATCTAAGAATATGGATACGAGAAGGTTTTTGAAAATTTGAATTTTTTTCGGAGATATAGGCATTTTACTGACTCGGTCTCCAAACTGGTTTGGCAGGGTCTAATCGGACAAAAGGCATTATGAAGTCATTAGACCAATTTAAGACGGTTTATCGTCAGATGAATTATTAATTCGATATATAGGTTCAGGAACTCAGAACAATAATGAATCTCTGAACTTGTTGATTTGGATTTTCGCCCCGAAACATATTCATTCCCGATCTCGGGTATTTGAAAAGCAATATTTATTGCTGTTTGCATATTCAATGAAGGTTTCTTTCCAATTTTAAAAATGATGACCCTTATGGTAATGCAAATTGGGCCAGAAACTCATTCATTTGCCATAAGACGATACAATGCCCGTATTGAGCTATCTGAAATACTTACATCCAACAATTCAAAAGAGGCTAGAACTGCTCGATTGGAAGAGAGAAAATCAGAAAATAGTTTTTTTTTAAGTAGAAGAATGTCCGATGCATGTAACAGGAATGGCAGATTAAATAACAGAAGTATAACATATCATTTTATCACTTTGACAGTAAAAAACTTCACGCAAAATTTCAAATACGTTTTCTTCAGAACAGACTTTTTCAGTACTGTTGACACGATTTCTCGAGTTCTACTCGACTGATTCACTTGAAATGTTCAGAGAGTCTTATTTATAGACTTATCTATAGGCCGAACTCATCCCCGAATTCCAATTTTTACTATATTTAAAAAATTCAAGAAACTCAAAAAATAGCAAAAAAGACACTTTTTTCAAACAGTCGCCAATTTGTAAAAAAAAACATTTTTTTTACTCATCGCTAGTTCGGCTGATTGCTACATCATTGTAGATTGATAATCTTTTTATTATTGGTATTTCCGATGGCTAAAATCATGTCAAGACTGAGGTGACAATTTTTTGAGACCACCCACTTCATCAGCTGCCAATTTTTACAATTTTCAACTTTTTTATTTTTTAATTTTTGTTTTGTATTTTAATAATATTAATAAACAAGTGGTAAAAAAATTGATAGTAAAAACATTCATTGCTTTCTTTTACGACACTTTAAAAATGACCTATTCATCGCTCTACACTAAAATACCCCCTTAATAATGTGAATATATCTAATTATATGTTTTTAAATGGTTCCAAAAATATTCGGTTTCTATTGATAGGGAGATGTGCTGATTAGTTTTTGGCAAAGGTAGGTCCAGCAGTTACGGAGTTTTCTAGAGAACGGAGCATCCTATTTGAATGATCCAAAAACACTCAGCTTGTGTTGGCAAAACAATTGTTTTAGGGAATTTTTTTTTCTATTTCAAATTTTTGTCTAAATAATTTTTTTTTGTATATCGAAAATAATTCAGATTTTAATTCTGGCTGAAGTTCTAAAGCTCACTTACATACTTTAAATGAATAATTTTAACTTTGTAATCCAGTTTACATAATTCTTATTAATATTAGAAAATGTTATAGTATTTCTAATAAACTATTTAAAAACATTTAATATTCCTCGAACATTTCGTTACGGTGCAGGTAGTTCCATTACCATTAGTTAATTTATTTGGCCATTCATATTACTTAAAAGTTAATTTGAGTAGTTTTTTGTTATTTACCTGTACTTTTTGTATTATAATAATTTGATTTTTCAAAAGAACCTTATTACTCAAAGTGCTCTATAATTCTTCTAACTCATGAATTTCTATTTTTACAATTGCAGAAGTCGTAAACTTGAAATTAGTGTCATTAAATCTAAGCAGCAATAGAATATCCATGCTACCCGTCGAAATGAGGCTAATGGAAAATTTAATAGAATTGGATATTTCTCATAATCCTTTGACGGTCCCACCTGCTAATGTAAGTGAAATTATTAATTTTTGAAAAAAAAACTTTCGAATTAATATAATGATTTTTATAGTTATGCGAGAAAGGAATGGTCCACATCTTCAAATATCTAGAGACTCAGTATATCAAAAACGGTGGAGGTCCCTTCAAACAAATCGCTATGACGACAGCAGCAAATGCAAGGATAGCACGTACAACTGCAAGTCCTATTTCGACACCAACAAAAACTTACACGAATCGTACATTGCAACCAAATACATTGGATAGTCTGAAAAGTAAAAGGCCTCATGTGGACAGCGGGTACTGTACCAGTGATGGCTTTGATAAACATTGGATCGAAGATGTACATGGTAAAAAATTAAAAAAAAAACATTGGCATACTTATAAGGTGACCATATTTTTTTAAGTCAAATCCGGGACTGCAATTTCTAGTTATATTATAACAAATGCTACTCAAGGATACAATGAAAAAACAGTTTTTTTAAATGAATTTTTGTTATCATCATTGCGGACTTTTAGTAAGAAGTTTTAGTAAGCTTTATACTTTGACTATTATATGCAATACTTCTTTATTTATGATATTATCTTCTATATATAAATAAGTCGGGTTTTCCTTCCTGACGAAATAACTCCAGAACGCACGAACCGATTTTGCATTCGTTGGAAAGGTCTCGGGCTCCGCAAGCTTTATAGCTAAGAAAATTAGTGGTGCATGGCATCGTGCCCTAATGCAAATTTCTTGAACTTCACGCACCGTAATTAAAAATTCGAGTAATAAAAATAATCAATAACTGTTTTAAATAATTTCAAATAGATTATCTTCTATATATATAAAAATAAGTCGGGTTTTCTTTCCTGATCAAATTTTTCCTTTTCAAATATAAAACAAACAAAAAATTTCTTTCATCTCATCTTTCTCACGAAACCATCTGGTGGCGAAACGGAGTTCGTCGGGTTTGCTAGTATCTTATATTTTTCGATCTATATGTCCTATTCAATTATCTTCGTAATTAATTAAAAAAAAAATGCATCTGTTAGTTTGTTTTCTTAATTTTAGTTAATTTAACTATTAATTTTCGAAAAAACGAGGCTTTCGGAACAAAAAATCAAAATCCGGGACACATATTGCTTTAAGAAAAACCCGGGACACAAGGTGGAAATCCGAGACTGTCCCGGCCAATCCGGGACGTATGGTCACCTTAATGGATTACATGGGTTTCACTGTTTCAAAAAATCAAAAAAAAAAAATTGTCTTATTAAATTCTATAACATCTCTAGAATATTGTCCTAAATTTTTAAGTTGATTCGACTAATAGTTTCGGAGCTACAGCCTTGAAAAGGGGACGCTTGAGGTTCATCTTTATTGGTTCTTAAAACTTTAAACGCGTTTTTCCCAAAACTATGTTTTCAAAGACGGTTATCAAGATTTCTTAGGAACTACTCAACTGATCTTGATGAAATTTTACACAGTTGTTCGAGATATCGTTTACAAGGTATTGAACGAAGGATTTTCCTTTTGTTTAATTACAACTATTTAATAAAAAAGAATGTCGAGAAATTTTAATCGAAACTTGCATTTTTTTTATCTGCCAAAAATCCACTTTTCATTTTTTTCTTTTTTTCTTCGTCCAATACCTAGTTTATTGTCTTTACTAAAACACGTATTTTTTATTTTTATTTCGGATGATCCTGAAAGAAGCCGGACTGCCGGAAATGGCGTCGTAATGACCGCGATTTTGATATTTTTTTTTTGAAAAGTTTACAAAATGTTTAATAAATATGTACCTTTTAAATAAAAAAAAATCATTAAAATATTTCATTTTTTATATGTAAAAAACATATTTGAAAAAATACCGTTTTTTGACCGAGGAAACCCATGTAACCCCTTAATACTTTCACGTACGAATGCAGAAGGGTTCATTGATTTTATTTACAGATGCGAATGCAGAAACGTTTGATTTATATCAAAATTTGTCTTCATCTTTGTCTTCCAACTCATCTCAAGACACAATAACACCTTTGAGTGGGGCTCCTTTGGCATCTAGTGAAAGTCGAAGTGGGAGTTCCACACCATCAACCATATCACCTGGACCGTCTGAAATTACTGCAAACAGAGAACTGTCGGATGACAGGCTTGCTAATATACAAACTTATAGGTACGGTGTTACTTGCAAATTTCTGTTTGCATTTGCTTGATTTTTGTTTTGTTATTTCAGAGAGTATAAAGAAGCCCTAAGGCAGCAAAGACAACTCGATGGCCACATAGTCTACAGATCTAAGGAACACACTCCACCTACACCTCAAACTCCCGAAACCAACTTCCAAACAACTCTAATGAACCAAAATCCCGACCACAAGTTTATTGCGAGTTCTCCAAATACTCCACTCAGTTCCAGGCGAGATTACAGTCACAACGATCACTCAAACTCATTAAACCATCACCAAGGAATGCAACAGATCTCAAAATACATGAACGGTTACACCAACGGCCAACCAAATGGTGTAAATGGTTCTCAAAGCCCAATTGCATCAGTCAACCCCATGCTGAATGGAAATTCCGTCAGTCGCAAACCTGTGCAAAAAGTTACACCATCCAGAAACATTGTAAATGACATCACACTTGAACAGAATAAAATAAACTCCATGACATCACCTGATAACGAGAAATCGGATTCAGTGAAAAATTCGCCCCAATCTCCATATAAAACATTTGCTAATAAGAACGATATATACGTTAAGCCGAATTCGCCGATTAAAAATTCTAGTAATATTTTAAGTCATAATAACGTTCCGGTAGCCAACCGGAATGGTTTGACCAAAAACGGGAACAAGAGTGTTACTTGGGAGAGTAATTCTCCTGATAAATTAGATAAATTTAGTTTCACAATGAAGAGGGAATTTGATAAGCAAAAGGAGGAGACTGAGCTGATAGACCAATTACGTAATGTAAGAATAAAATTTTACATATAACATAAATAATAAATTATATAGTATAAATTTTAAATATAACACCAATGTATATTTTTGGTTGTAGATAATTGAATCACGTCTAAAAATGACACTGCCACAAGATCTTGGATCAGCCTTAACCGATGGTGTTGTTTTGTGTCACTTGGCAAACCAGGTTTCGCCCAGGGCTGTTGCCACAATTCATGTGCCAAGTGCCACTGTTGTAAGTTTTTATTAATGTTCCGGAGAAATTTATGTTTTTATGAAAAAGCCGATTCGCTATTTTATGTTTTTTCGACGTTTGAGACCAGATTTGGAAAAAGTATGTGTGTGTGCACGAGAACAGATTTTTTTGCCGTAAATCGACGTTTTCTCAAAAACGACTGTACCGATTACAATAATTTAAAAGCCATTCGATGTATCTCGATGATAACTAGTGTTCATCAATTTTGCGCGACGATCAGACAAGCCGTTTCTTTATAAATAGCAGAAAAGTGAAAAAAAATCGTCTACGTTTTAGCCCGCAATTCTGAATCGATTTTGAAAATTCGAAAACCGTTTAAAAGATATTGTTTGGGAATCGTGCTGATTAGTTTTTGGTAGAGATCGGCCGGGCCGTTTTCTTGTAATAAAGTGTTAAAAAAATTTTTTTTTCAACGATTTTTATGATTTTTTATTGACGGTGAATACCATAGTCTTATAGATCGTACTAAAATATTACGGCCCTACGACCAGTCGTTTAATTTAAAAAAATCGACAAATTTTACAAAAAATAGTATCGTTTTTTTGGCGTTTGTCAAAATTAGAACTTTCATCGACGTTTGCTCAAAAACGCCAGAACCGATTTCAAAAATTCAAAAGCCAATCGATGTATTTCGATGTGGATTATCTTTTCTCAGTTTTGTGCGACGATCGGCCGAGCCGTTTTTTTGTAATTTGAAAAAAAGTGTTAAACTTTACGTCCACATTTAAACTTATACTACCGAATCGACTTTAAAAAATCAAAAACTGTTCGAAATATATTGATTGGGAATGATACTGATTAGTTTTAGGTAAAAATCTACCGAGCCGTTTTTTGAAATCATCTGTTGAAAAAAATGTTTTGACAATGCTTATGATTTTTTTTTTGGCAATAGATATCATGGTCTTATAGACTTACTAAATTATAACCGCCTTACGACAATATGAATTTTAAAAATTCATCAAAGCTTTAGAAAATGAGTATTTTTTTGACGTTTGTTAAAATGAAAATTAGATGATTTACTTGGTATAGAGTGTTCGTTCGTTTTACTTTTAATCACTCATAAATTAATTTATATTTTATTGATTAAGTCGATTATTTACACAAATCGGGAAGTTCATGTAACTTGCCTCAAGGCTAAATACCAATACCAACTAGTTTATTTTAATTTTATTCTGCAATTTGTTTATAATTATATTTAGCAGAAAATGCTGAAAGTTGTTTACAATTAGTTGTTTACGAATTAGTAGAAATTTCATGAAAATTAACATGGCGATAAAGTTCATGCTTATCAATAAAAATTCAATTGGAAATGGAAATATTTATATTTAATTCAAAGCGATAACTTGATTTTCGAAATAAACATTTGAAAATATTATCTAAATATCTAAATCTCAATTTCGGTTGATTATAATCAACTAATGACTTATAAGTCAATTATTATATATTTCGGGAAGTTCATGCAACTTAAGGCTAAATGCTACTTTTAGTTTAGTTTAATATCAGTAAATTAATGTAGTTTCGTTTGCAATTTTTAGCCAAAATTAACGATGGCAAGGTGCAGGAGGAATGTTGACAATTTTCTGGAGGCTTGCAGGAAAATAGGCGTTGAGGAGGTTAGTGATATTTTTATGTACAGTAATAAACTAAAATATAAGTTTGTCAAATATCTCCCTTCCGCCTTTTGTATTATAACCAAGAGCAAAAAAGCGGAAGGGAGATATTTGACAACCTAATATTAGGTGACTAACTTAATTTCTTCTAAGATTCGAATACTTTGTTCATATGTTTTTGTCATTAATCCATTCATTGTGATCACGGAAAATTAAATAAATATGGTTGCTTTTTTGAATGTTTTCGTGGGTTTTTGGTTTTCTCTATAATCCATCACATCTTTTGGCCATTTGGTAAAGTTCACACATGCTTTTTGAGAGATTGCAGTTGTAGATCAATTGGCAGTTTTATTATTATTTTCTCAATTGCAATCTCTTCCTGGTGATTTCCTGGTTTTGTATGATGTTTGTCCTTTCCCTGTCTTAAACTGGTTGTCGGTATGTGTTGCAGACGCTGCTGCCCAGCCGCGATCTTTTGATGGGATGTACGTCTGCACATGAGCCCGACATCTCGGTTGAGGACAAGGTCAGATTCGTCGGTAAAAGTGCCCTGTGTGTATTGGCACGACTTTGCATCGATTTGGTTAACGGAAATCACCAAAGGCCAGAAATGCGATCGGTTATAGAGAACGGGAATAAAATCGCGGACGAAGACGCCAGGGGAAAAAGGAAACTGAGCGAAAATATGGGATATGTCATTGAACAACTGGAGAACCACGCTTTTATAGAACAAGCTCTGGCTGAAGATATAATCGATAATTATGATGTTGTCGATGGGAACATGGACTTAGATCATGATGACAAACCAGAGACTGAATTGATATACGAGTGTAACAACAAGAAAGTTGTACCATCCGATTCAAAACTCAAAGACATGATCAAGTACTTTGAATCCACAAAGGAACGTGGCAACTCCAAACTCAACAAGGACATCAGAAACAATTCTGATAAGTACCAAGTGCCCTTAGGAAAAGATGCTGAAGCATGTGATAAAAATGAAGGAAAATACAGGTCTTCTGAAGTGATGGAAAAAATTAATTATACTAAACGTAAAATGTCTTTGTATTTAGAAAAGAATTTGAATAAAGAGATGAAATCGGATACTGTGGCGCATAATAGGCTTGTCACGATTGCCTGTTTGTCTGGATTTTTGCTTACTGTGATTATTTTAACATTGTATCCGCTACCGGGATAAAATTGAAACATTAATAGATGTTTCGACGAAACATTCCTTGAAAAAATATTTGTTATTATTCCCTAACACATAAAAGACTACGAGTTCTTATATATTTTGAAACAGATTTTTTAGATCTAAGTAATATTATATTTCTAATATGCGTAGATACTACATTATTTAGAACCGACGAACAAATTAACCAGTTAACTGTGACGAATATACTCGTTATAAAGAAGTGGCAGAATTTTGTGTATTGACGAGTATATTCGTCACCATTGGCTATATAAATTGATTTTTTGAAGGCAAAAAACTTAGTTGCTACATTGTCTATCAAGGGGGTATTCTAGTGTAGAGCGATTAATTTTAGGTCATTTTTAAAGTATCGTAAAAGAAAGCAATGAATGTTTTTTGCTATTCATTTTTTTACCACTTGTTTATTAATATTATTAAAATTCAAAACAAAAATTAAAAAATAAAAAAGTTGAAAATTGTAAAAACTGGCAGCTGATAAAGTGGGTGGTCTCAAAAAATTGGCACCTCAGTCTTGACATGATTTCAGCCCTCCTAGCCATCGGAAATGCAAAAATAAAAAGATTATTAATCTACAATGATGTCGCAATCGGCTGAACTAGCGATGAGTAAAAATTTTTTTTTTCACAACTTGGCGACTGTTTGAAAAAAAAAGGTTTTTTTTACTGTTTTTTTGAGTTTCTCGATTTTTTTTAAATAGTAAAAATAGGAATTTCGGTATGATTCTAGTTCAGACGGTAGATAGATCAATAAACAAGACTCTCTGAAAATTTCAAATAAATTGGTCGAGTAGAACTCCTGAAATCGTGACAAGAGTACTGAAAAAGTAAGTTCTGAGAAAAACGCATTTAAAGTTTTGCGTGAAGCCAAACCAGTATGGAGACCGAGTCAGTAAAATGCCTATATCTCCGAAAATAATTCAAATTTTCAAAAACCTTCTCGTACCCATATTCTTAATAGTTAAACTTTGGAAATATGAAATAAAAAAAAAATTGATTTTTTGAATTTCTACACTAGAATACCCCCTTAATAACTGCAAATTAACCTATTAACTGTGATTGCCGAATATACTCGTCATGAAGAAGTGGCAGAATTTTGTGTATTGACGAGTATATTCGTCATGCGTATAAAAGACCATTGGCTATAAAAATTGAATTTTTTTAACGAATGTTAAAATGAGATGTTCATATAATTTTAAGACTATGACTTTATAAAAAGTGTCAATTTTCCTTAAGGCAAGTTGCGTAATCTTTTCAAAATGTGGAAATAATTACGTAATCAATCAGAATTGAAATTTAGATATTTAAATGACATTTTCTACTGTTTATGTTAAAAATAATTTATCAAAAACTGCTTTTACTTTCTTATAATATTTATTGAATTTAATGCGTTTTTAATTTAATACGTATGTAATATATACTTATATTAACAAAAAAGTAAAATTTGAGTACTTTTAGCGCAGATTGACGAATATACTCATCATTAGCGTGTGCACCACAGTTAACTGGTTAACAAATCACATTTACAATTATATTATAAATCACATAAGTCATTTATTATTGACTTGATATTTACATCACGATATCAAAATATATCTGAACTCGTACTTTATATTATTTAAGCATATTTTTATTAATATTATTACCAAGAATAGAAAAGTCTTATCTATTCCTCACACAAATGCCAAATTCAGCGATTTCACTGAACCAAAACTTTTTACCAGTATTGAAAATGATTCTTCCTATTTATATATAAATAGTTGCCAAAAATAAGGTTACTACCCTAATTATTATTTAATACCCCGAAATTCATTTTATATTATAAAGTGCAGAGAGAATATACAACCAAAGATTGAACACAAGTACAATATTTTTAATACAAATGAGTATTTTTAACAAATTTGGAAGATAATAATATATACGGATATTTTATTTATTAACCAGAGTATATTCTCGTGACAATATTTCCAGAATCTCTTATATTATAATTAATTATTGACTTATAATATAGTACTTAAATAAAATTATTATATATAATAATAATTGGTATAATTATATTTTAAAATAAGCTGCTATATGCTTTTTGCAGTGTAGTGTTTTATTTAATCAGAAAGCAAAACTATCTCAGATTTTATTAAATTGATATTTAGTTTTAATTTACAAATTTATTCAAAAAATTCTTAATAATTTGACTTATAATCCTGTTTTTAGCAGCTATTTTATAAGTTAGTTACTCATATAGAATTACCTACTATTACCCTTACAACTTAACACTATCGTGCCTAATAATGTTGTAAGAAAAATTACAATGGCTTAAATATTTTAAACTATTTTAGAATAAGTCATGTAAACTGCTTTAGCATTTGCAAATATCATTTTAGATTTAGATTGTGATATACGATAAGTACTTAACGACTTTTAACAGAAAATATTTAAGTTAAGAGATCATCTGAACCTAGTCTTTAAGTACTTATATATATGGAGAGAGATTTTTATTTATTCCTGCTAATTTACAAGACTGTTTTCGTAAGATCTGATTTATTCTTATTTTATTCAACAGACTTGTTACATTTTTTTTAACAGATCTCTTATGTTATTCCTTATTAATTCCAGTATTAATTGTATTTTTCAAATCGTGAAAGTCTATGTTATTTATATCCAGATATTTATTTATGAAACAGATTATTTAAATTCTTATTTATTACTTGAAATAGATTA